AAGCAGTCATAACTCGATATTATTTTTACCAAATTTAACATTAATGCGACCTTTGAAAGCTAAATTACTGCTCTTCATACCCATCTAAAATTTTATTTATAATATAAAATATAAATTTCGTTTATGAAAAACTTCACAGAATTATTTTTATATGGTTCAAATTTGTTCACGGATTTAGGGTTTATCTCCTTTCGTTTAGTTCATGCTTTCTTTCGTATGGATCAGTGAAGTCCTAGGCAAAAATTTTGTGCAAACAAATTATATCGTTCAGTTATAACAATTAGAATTTAAGTGTTATTTGAGGTATAGAATACTAACATGAACTTACTTTCTCCACGAAAAAATATCTATTCTCACATTAGTATAGCTTCCAGTCAAAGTAAATGTTGTATATCGAAGAAGTTTCCAACAAAATGAATAAAAAGAAGAAATTAATTTTAAGTAAGTTTATATGAAAAGATTTTTGTTTAATTGTATTTATAGAGTGCAAAATTAGTTATATCAAAGTAAATTATGTCAAAGAAAACGTTAAATTTTTCTCTGTTAATAGACGTTTTGTTTTTATCAAAAATAATACCAATAACTTCATTTTTGTTAATTTTTATTTTTCCATCCGCCATTTATGGCACCCTGGGTTTCATTTCTGTTACCATTCATTCAAGTTTATCTTTATATCGAATTAATATTCTCATTTCAACATGCATTGAAATTAGATATAATATAGATGTTAACTTACCCAACACATCAAGCTTTGACGTCGAAAGCAATTTCGTAAAATAATTCAATTGGGGAGGAATTAAGCTGGTTTAAAGTTCCCCTACGTAGCAATGTCGCCTCCCACAACTTTACCAACTCTACCCCTACAGAATAATAAATCTGTCGTTACAGATTTTCGGCGTCCTAATGAAGATTTATAAAATCGCCAGAGAATTTTCACTCATGGATAAGTAGATGAAGGTAATTTTTACGCTTAAATTAAATTGAAACACACATTCAGCAAAACTGTCATTTTTTTTTTTTTTTACAATAACAATATACAAAGTTAGTAATCCATTATTAATAATAATAATAATTAATAATAGATTGTTACTGGAATATACCATATCAAAATCTTCCACCTATCAAATTTCTGTAAATAAAATCCATTGAAGTTCACCCACTTGGCCTGAGAAAAAGTCTTACTAAATGCAAATAGAGATACTCAGAATCAGATAGATAACACTAAGTGCGGATTACAATATTTCTTAATGTGGGGTTTCGGGACAGTTTTCCATTATAAAATATTTTATCAGTGTTTCAACTGCCTCCCGAAGTGCTACATCCTACGCCCTGAAGACGACCTGCAAAGTGGGTCGAAACGTCGGCAAAAATTAAAATAATTAATATATTTTAATTTAGTATTTATTTGACCGAACCCCCGACTAACTCCTTCTCATATAAAATATTTTATATTTGTATTAATGTGCTATCACTATATCATTCAAATCTTTTTTTTTTTTTTATCTTATCCCTCACCATTTATGAAATACAGTTGAGGGGGGAGGTGGTTGCACTAGTTGTTCTTACACAATCAAAGCTATTCTAACCACCGCGGGAAGGAGATACATTCCTCAGGTCCTCCACAAAATAAATTTCAACTCGCCCAGGGTGGATTCGAAGCGGACTGTGGTCTACGCCTCAACACGGTCGGTCATAACTACCTCACCACTAGTCTTTTATTATCTGATTAAACTATACACTTTATCAATCATTTTACTCTTTTTTTTTAAATTTATAAATCATTTTGATGATGGTACTTTACTTTCTTATTAAATTCTATAGCTTAAAATTAATTAAATATAGCAATGATTTTTTAGGAAATTCCATAAACTTTTAAAAAACCATACAAAACGTGTTGAGTTATTCGGAATTTAATTTTACCATCCCTCGTAACTTTTTTTCCAGCTTCTTTTCGTTGAAGTATTTTATATAGATAAATTTAAAGGGTGTCGAGAAAATGACTTTAGCGAAGTTTCATTGAAATCGATACATTCGTTTAGGCGCTACATTCTATTGCAACGCAGGTTTTTCTGCATTTTTATTTTTTTTCTCCTTTATTAACTTATCAAATTCTTTCAAAAGTTATATGTAGCATTTTTTTTATAACTCTGAATAATGAGAAATGATTAAATTTTTAAAATAAACCATATTAAAGGTACTTTAGAGGAAGATATATATGAACATTGGGCATTTAAGCCCTGTAAAGTGACATCAACGGGGATAAGACTTAAATGATATTAAAGATCACTTAATTATACAATGATACACAGAGTTTAGTCAAAATCGTTAGAGCCGTTTTTGAGAAAATTGTAAAAATGTGTTCATATAAAGTGGCACTTCCGGTTAGCCGATTTTAACAAAAAAGTTTCTGTCACATCCGGCCCATGTACAAACCTTAAATACTTAATATTAAATACTTAAATCAGTTTCTTACTACGTTTCGTTTATGAGCTAGACTGTTAACACAGACACACAGACCATTTTGCGACACATGGTTATTTGGACTCAGGGGACCTCAAAACATGTTTTTCCGTTGAAAACTGAGGTTCGAAAATTTTCACGATCGCAATACTTACCCTTACTATATATTACATATATACGTAAGTGAAAGTAATACTATATATTACATATATACGTAAGTGAAAGTAATACTATATATTACATATATACGTAAGTGAAAGTAATACTATATATTACGTATATACGTAAGTGAATGTAATACTATATATTACATATATACGTAAGTGAAAGTAAAAAAAGTTACTAAATAAGTGAAGGAAAATTAGCAGTCAAGGAAATACTTTTGACCCTTCTATAACATATTACGATTTATTCTATTACCTGGCCACCGGATATCCGTAAGTAAAACGGTCTGGTTTACGTGCTGAGAAAATTGAATAAAAGAAAAAAAAAGAATATGAACACGATTTTTGACATGGAAAAGGTCAGTAATTTTAATTATGTAAAAAATAAGAGAAAAAAATATCAGATTTTGACATAAGATTTTAATAAAGAAATTTTATTTACAAAATTATGCACATAAATAAAATTTTATAAAAGAAAAAATTAATCCAAAACGACTTCAAAGTATTTGAAGCTATTTTATGTCAAAGGATTAATTAAGTAGAACCTGTCAATGAGTAACAAATATAACTTTAGTTGCATCCATTAAAAAGACTAACATGGAACCCACATACCAGACTTAAATGACGAACTATTAATTAAACTGTTGAGAACATACTATTAATCTACAATACAATCCTGAAACCTTTCTGGACGAATGGACTCGAACTGTGGGGGACAGCAAAACTTTCCAACATCAAACGCATTCAATCCTTCAGTCTAAAGTTCTTCGAACAATAGTCGATGCTCCCTTTTATGTAACCAATAAAACCCTCCATAATGACCTTAATCCCAGAAAATTTTCCAAATTTCACCAGAACCTCACTCATCATCCTAATCCTGTAGCACAATCTCTATCTAGCTCCAGTCATTCCTAAAATCCTCCTCGGAGGTTAAAACGGCAGTGGCCCCGCGACCTTTTGTAAATATGTATATATTGGAGTACTGGAACTGGTCAGTTTCTTCTCTCAATGTTGCTCCTGTGCCCTCCACCAGACTCCACTGACTTCCAATACCAGTGACGCGGCTGGGAGAGAAGCACTGGGATCTCCTGCTTGGGATCTGCTTTGGCTTCCACATTTGGGGGACAAAGCTTGATTCAGAGTCCCCTGGGCCAATGTAAATATTTTACATAGTTGTGAATCGTTTTTATTTATTGTATTACCATTCGGATTTAATGTTATTAGGACGTGGAGGAAAGCATGGCAGCCAGAAGGCTTCGTGAAGGAGATTGGATGGACAGGGAGCAGTGGCTTTTGGGTTTGGGGATATGATTCATTAAGTTGTATAAAACCCAAATAAATAAAAAAAAATTAATGTTATTTTATTTATCTAGTATATAAATTTATCTTTTTTTTCTACTTTGGTTTTTTATATTTATTTTCCTTTCTTATGTACATATTCTGTGAATGAATACTACAGCTCTAGTAGAAATGCCCTTCAGTGTGGCAGACTGTATTAACACTCAATAAAATCATAAAATAAAATAAAAAAATTGCATCCAAATCGGGCAAAAATAACTACAAACAGGGGTACCCACAAAGAGGTTTCATCACAAATTTTGAGGAGGGCACATTTTGAAGCGATTTTGAAATTTTGAGAGGGGCAAATTTCGACGAAGTTTTGACTTTTCAGACTGAATAGTTTCAAACGAAGAGACAAAGAGAACACGTGGAACAACCCTCAACAAGTGTAATTGTATATAATATACGGTACTGTTATTTCTAATGTTTTTATGAAGAGGATAGCAATAAAATATTTTGATGAGTGGAGGGGGGAGATTCATACACCATCGAACTTCGGGGGGAGGAGGGTGGGGTGGACCCCCCTGTGTACAAATAAATATAATACAGACTTTAGAGAAATATAAACTAGATAGATAAGAACAGACACAACCTATAAACCAAAATTATATTGTAATTTACAAACTTTTCTTTTCTTTCATTTTTACAATTTATTATAATTTTGTTAAACAAGATGTGGAGAAGTATATGCTGCTAGCTTGACAAACGGTTAGTCGTAACTTAATGAGTGGTTATTATATAAATTTAGACCAGATAACACATTGAAATAACTGAATATTACCAAACCCTACTTCATTTGAAATTAATTTCCACTTAAAGCAGGATGGTAAGTGAAAGAAGTGTGATGCGTGCTCCTGAATCAGATTTTTTTTTTATTATTCCGTGGCGCAACTAGATTAATATTATTGGCAATGAAAGAGTTATTCAGATTCTTGGAATTAGGAGCTTAAAAATAAATAAAACAAAACTTTATTTTATTTTCAATATAAATGGAGGGAGTCATATTCATGGCATATTAAATCGATAGTAAAATACATGAAAGGTTAATTTTTTATTATATATTTTTTTTCAAATGAAAATATCAATGAATAAAATCACAATTTAATAATAAGTAAATTAATAATCAGTAATTAGAGCCTAAATTTAATTTTGCATTATCATTGGGAAAATCTTAATGTAAATATTCATTTCGACTTTGATTATGTCAGATATTTTTTATTTTATTTATTTATGATATTTACAAATGTATTAAAAAAAAATACATTCAGTTAATGTGATAACAGAAAATAATAACATGAAAATACTTGTTGAGAAACTACCCACTGGTATTTCTCTAAAAAAAAAGATGTATTTACAAAAGAAGATCTCGAGACCATCTTCTTTTCAGACGCCTCGGAGGGTTATCATTGATCGAATAGGAAACAAGGTTAGAAACGAGAGGATTTGGGTGGTTCTGAAGTTTATTATGGATGAATAGGTATCTGGATTGGACCAATTCGGAAATATAAGGAATATTAAGGTCTTTATGGATGATTTTATTAGTAACAAAGTAAGAAGCATTGAGGATTTTTCGAAGGATTTTGGATTGTAAGGATTGGATACTTGAAGAATTCGATGGCTTTGTGGAGCCCCAGATCTCAACTCCGTAAGTCCAAGTAGGTTTAATTGTAGTCATGTATATGAGTCTTTGGTAATTAACTGAAAGCTTATAGCGTTTGCCTAGTAAATGCTGGAGCAGCCGGATACGTTGATCCGTTTCTTGTCGTTTTAGTCTGACTAACTTTTAAAAGCCTAAAATTCGGAGTATTTTATTGCCAGCCCAACAATCAAAGAACACAATATGTTTCTTCATAACGTCGTACTATTATCTTAAAATACAATTGTTTAAAACTTGAGGTGCGATATATTTTGTTTTTTTATTCGGACTCTAAACTATTATGTACTATGTCAGAACAGATAAAAAATTAAAACTGTATAAAATATCCCATAATAATAATAGAATAATGCAGTAAGTAGATAGATTTATGTCGTCAACTAAACGTCTTCTTTTTTTTCAGGTAAAGGCAATCGTTATTATCCATCTTATGGAGTGAGCTCTGATTGCGAAGAAGAAGTCAACGCTCAGGTCTACCAACATACTTACCAGCAGCCGGGAGTTTTCTCTGGTACTCCAACGTCTGACGCCAGTGACGCAACTCTGACAGATTCCGAACTTGCCCTTGCTAGAGATTCTACCCTGCTTGTACACAACGGTTAGTGATCATCAATTTATGTTAATATTTGATAAATATGTCGAAGCAATTACCATTATAAAAATTGTAAACCTTTTTTATTCGAAAAGAGAAACTTTGTCCTATTTCAGCAAGCCTAGTTGAAGTACCTCAAATTCACCATTATCTTTTAAATAATTATTGATTTGAAAGAGCTAACTTTTGTCCCAAATAAGTGACGATAGGGTTATGGGATAGATTCTCGAGATAAATAAACACTTATTTGGTCCGATCTTGATAGCCAAATATACAGCTTTTTTTTTTTCATCTTAGTAAAAAATTTAGTTGAGAAAACAAATAAATGTACGAGGTGTGGCTATTAAATAACGAATCTGATGCTCTAAAATATTTCATTTTGATTTCATACGTATTTACTTATTATCAGTTTAAATATATATATTCTTCATAAATCACTGCAACGCTGCATGTGAATCATCCATTGTCTGAAACAGTGCAGAAAGTCATCTTCTGTCAGCTCCTTGAGGATGCTTGCCACTTTTTCTTTCACAGCTTCCACGCACTAAAATCTGTTTTTCATCATGCAGATTGACGAATCTTTGCTTTTTATTTAAGGTCCTGAATCCAAGGGATCTTTATTGAGACCTTCGATGAGACCCAAAAAGGCTCGAATGAACAAATCGAAATTAAAAGAAATGATGAATCTTTTTTCGATATTCACTTATCAATATACCACAATCCCATTGTATACCTTAACTGGGTTCCTGAAGATCAAACTATATATCAACATTACTACATCCACGTTCTTGCTGCAAGCGAAAGCGGTGCGTATCCTGAAGGATCTGGCCGTAGAAGAGGTCCTGAACTGTTGAGGTCTGAGACAATAGAAGATTCGCATGAAGACTTGTAGGCGCTTATAAGGGATATATATATATCCCTGAAACTTAACTTATATTATATATATATATATATATATATATATATATATATATATATATATATATATATATATATATATATAAAACGATAATTAAATAGGCATGAAATAAAAATAAAATGTTTTACAACTTCAGTCCCATTATTTAATAGCCACATGTTGTATACATCCTACTTTAGTAATCTTCTTAGATATTCAGTTGAGAAACACACACACACTTATATATGATTATATAAACAGGTTTTAGAATTAATTACTATATTTGAACATAGTCCGGGAGCAGTAGAAGGAGAAAAACGGCTTCTTGTGAGCACATTAATGAAGAGAAGGCAATAGTCGTATCATTGAATGAACAAAAGCATGCAGTTTAATAATTATAAAAGTTACTCCCCAACAAGTTTTGCTTATGTCCGAGATACGGCATAAGAGAAGACCACCACTAACTTATGTCTTATCCTAGGTCCATATCAAACCAATTTTAAGTTTTGATGTTTCTTTGGAAAGTCGTTTTTATTATATAAAAGTAATATTCTTACATTTAATTTCGAAACATTTATTTTTTTATTTTTCGGATACGAGCTGACAAAACGATTGTTTTTAACCCAACTTTAAATTATAAATTTCTCATAAAAACATTCATTGTCTTCAAAATTTCAGAAAATCATAACATATAATTCGTAAAAAACAAATGAAACACATAAAAAAGGAAATAGTTATTGGCTGGCAATCCATGTGGAACGAAAGCCCAGCGAGCTAATTGAAGGAAATCAAACAATCACTATATCTATGGCCCATCTTGAACCGGCCTATTCGTAGAGAGGAAGTTGCTTTAACTAGGCTAAGGATAGGACATAAAAACCTAACACATTCTTATCTGACAAGCAAACAGCCTGCACCAAAATGCCAATACTGCAAAAATATTCTCAATTGTAATTGTAAATACATTTTTAGAGTGCTACCAGTGGGTGGTTTCTCAACAAGCGGTTTCATGTTATATTCTTGTGTTCACATTTAATGAATGCATTTTTTATTAGTAATACAGTTGTATGTATCATAAATAATTGAAAAAAAAAAAAAACTGAAACTTAACTTGACCTTCAACCAAGTATATTGATCTGATACTTTTGAACTTCTCATGCCTGCAAAGTATTGAGCGATCATTCTAGAATAATTGGTGAAATCATAAATGACGAAATCGTTCAGTGCTGAAAGCACATCCTCTTTGAAGTACCATAGTCTTAAGCAAAACCTGCGGAGGTGTCACCATGAAAATTATCAAACTAAATGCTTTTATTGATTAAACAATAGCACTTGCACATATCATTCATTCATTTCCGCATCGGAGACACATTACTCCCGGACTAATATTGGCATAAAAAAAAGTTTAGTAACTAAATAAAATTTTATTGACAATCTAAATAACACAAACCTTCACAACAAAAAAAAAAAAAAGGTATAACTGACTTACTTTTTCACATACATTCCAAGTTTTCCAGATTCCATCAGAACTTATCCAACCGTCCTAATCCTCGGTTTCAGTCACTATCCAACTTCACTCATCCCTATAATCCTTCTCGAAGATTAAAGTGGGAGCTTCTCCGAGTCTTCCTTTTTTAAAATACGACTTCGGAAAAACTGGTAGCAACCAGGTTCTCAAGTCCAGGGTGTGATGCGCTCCTAAACCTGCTTTCAATACAAGTGACCCGCTTACGAAAAACACTGTAATCTCTTGTTTTTCGAAATGTTGAGTTGGGAAATAAGTCCTTTTGGTTTTTCAGCGAGAATAAAATTTTTGTATTATAGACATATAATTGATTTTAGTCTACAATCTATGGATAATTATTTAGTATGTTCTCATCTTTCCACTAACATGATCTGAGTAGTTTTTTGTCTTGTTCGTTTTGGAATTACTTTCAATTTATGGAGTTCTGCAAAGTCCAGAATAAGTGGCAGTTGCTTGGAGCTAGGTCTGTTGAATAGAGAAGGTGGTTCAAAAAGTTCCTGTAAGTGCGTGTTTCCAAGTTGACTTCAGTCGGGGATCCATCATTGGATACGTAGAGTAGGTTGTGCAAATAGTTTTCTATGCTTGTGTGATACACATTGAGGGCCATAGGAATCTGCCGCTTTGATTGAGCGATGATGATATAAAATTCCCTGAAGTAAATTCGGCGAACCAGTTTTGACACGTGCTTTCAATTAAGGTATCTTCCTCATAAACACTACATCTTTTTTTGATCTTTTATAACACGTTAGCTTATTGTATAAATAATACACAAAAATATATATTGGCATGTTTACACATATGTAGTAATAAATAATGAATATTATTGCAATGAAATATTTTTGATATGAACATATAAAAAAAAAAAAGATATAAAAATGTATGAAATAAAAATTCTTTTACATATATATGGAAAATTAATAATTCAGGAGGTGGATAAATAGTTGATGTTTGAATGAAGTTAATGATGGGGTTTACGAATGTAAATGGGTAAGGAATCCCTTAACAAGATATCACGTATGGTAAAGAATTCATTGAAGGATGGAGTTGTATGAGAAGGAATTTACAAGTTTATAGACTGATACTTTGTGTTTAAAGAGTTTACATAGGCTACAAGTAGGATTTTTGTTTCTAAAGGAGCGGAAAGGATAGAAACCTAGGATTTTTCGTCTCGGAAAGCCACTTCAACTCAGCATAACAACTGAAGACATGGGAGCTCCTGAATAAGATAAATCCAATGAAACAATTATTGATTTCTTCAATCTCATTGATGAAGGTTTGTGATAAAAGATACAAGTTGTTAAATAGAATTTATTATTGTGGGCGAGGTGGCCGAGCGTTTTGTACACGCGTTGCCTGCAACTGACACATGATAAACCGAAGTTTACAAGATATAAAATAATTACAAGTTCTCGTCCTAGTGCTTGGCGAGCATGTAATTCTCGAATGAATCCTCCACCGTCTCCCCTGACCCGGAAAAATCCCCGTATAGCCCAAGAGTGAGAAAGGGGTGGGAAAAAATATCATATTTATTAGAAATCATTCCAATTCTACAATTTTAATACAATTCATCAACAGATATAATATTTCATTGCTGATTATAAAGTAAAACGTAAATCAAGATTATGAAATGACTCAAGGGGAACAAATACAAGTATATTACAATATGTATTCACCTTGGAAATAAGGATGAGTTAGTCATTACTTTAACAAATTATTCGACATTTCTTAGTTTATGAAGTAAAAAAATAATCAATCTGAGTCAGATTACTATTGGTACACTCACAATCAATACGATGTAACAACTTTTTTTTAATGCTGTATTACAGTAAGAAGTATATGTGTGTGTATATATATATATATATATATATATATATATATATATAAGATAAAGACCGGAGACCGGCGATATCAGCCTTAATACCGTCCTGAATGTAAATAAACATATGAAATGTATATAAGGAGGATTACTAAAGGAATAAATCAGTATCTTTTCTGAAACCGTGAGTGTTGCATTTCAAGCCCTTTCCTTTCTTTTTTTTTATTGTTAGAGTCCGCCGACGCTTAACTGGTGCCGAAACCCGGGACTACGACAGGAGAACAGAGAAGTAATTTTTTTTTAAAGTCATTTTTTTTTCTCTTGGTTTTTTTTTCTTCTCCTAGTCATAAGGAAAGAGTGAAATGCCAACAGAGGGCTTAATCAGGCCGGGAGTGTTGAGCGCCCCGGAAATCCCTCAACCTCAAGAAATTCCGCAGATACCTCAGATCGCGCAGGCCCCTCAGGTGCCTCAGATACCTCAAATACCTCAGGTACCGCAGATTCCGCAGATCCAGGAGATCCCTCCCTTACCGAGGGACACATTGGCAGAAGCGCACGCTAACGCGCTGGAATGGATGAAAATAAGAGCGGCGACCACGCAGGACCTTCGAAGAGCCATTGCGGACCTGGAACGCTTCGGTGGCGAGGTAGGTGAGCTCAACCATTTCCTGAAAGGCGGAGACCGCCTCATGTCTAGAATAGAGGTAAAGGTGGCGGAGGACCTGGTAAACCTAGGGGACGCGGAAGCGTTGAAAGCGGCTCTGGTGTGCCG